TGACCACAGCACTTCTGACAAGTGCTTCAGACCTTAATGATTCTCATGAATAGAAATTATTTTATTATTTTCAGGTCACATTTAAGATACATGAAATGGTTAATACTGCTTTTATTTCCTCTGCTTGCATCCAATCCCTTGATGTGCTTATAGAGAATGATCAGCCAAAGACTCCTGTGGTGGATTTTCCTGTATCTGACACTCTTTGAACATTTGTACATGGGAACTAGAGCCACTTGCCATTGTCCAACACAAAGTCCTAGCAGTACACCAAGTAACAATGTTAGTATTGTATTGGCTGAGGAAATAGGCTCAAATATCCAATCTGCTGAGAGTTAGATATCAGCCTAAGATAGTTTGTTTGTAGTACTGCAGATGATCCAGGAAATAGAGCTTTTGTGTGTAGAGATTTCCCTGGTCACGCACTTACTGCTGCTGAGTACAATGTGACTTATCTGTTGTGTTCCAGTAGAAGTTTATGACCATGTACACATTATTCACCATCCCAATTGTTTAAGGATCCGATCAGTACATTTCCAGATAATGTGCATGAGTAATATGTTCAACAGCACTGCACTTAGCATGAGGATCTCTTCTTTTAAGAAAAACTTAAAAGTTAAAATTACAAAAACTGTGATGTCAATTGTCTACCTGTGTTTTTCTCTTTGGTTATCTATCTGAAATCACTTTAATTAGAACTAGAGTTCTAGCTTCTGAGTATTCAGATCCTTATAGGGTGAGGCAATGTAGTCTAGGGCAAACAGCATTTATGCTTCTGTTTAACATAAAACATAGAAATAGTTCTGTGGGGCTTTCACAAAGCCCATACTAAAGCATATGCTCAGCATAGGCCTTGCTGTGCTGGATCTTAGTAAAGATCCCCTGACACTTTGAGGACTTCTTGTTGCATGTTAATAAAACTGAAACATGGGGGAACCATTTTCATTATAAGCATCATCTGCTGTGAAACATTTTCTCATACAAAGAGTATATTTGCATATAAGCTTTCTACCTTCCTATAGGCTCAGCAAGAGACGACTTCTAGCAAGGAAGTCTCTGGACAGTTTTTTCTTGGTGCAAGTGTTGTCACAATCTAAACATTTGGGGTTTATCAGGTTTTCATTGCATTCTCATTGCTGTAGTTTCCCGCTAATAGTGAACATCTAAAAGAATTTCTGCTAAGTAGGGAGAGAAATAAAATAGTCAGCTTCACTGTACTTTCAGAACTAATGCTTCATACTTTTTTTTAACCCTCCTCACTGTGAGTGTATGAGTTGGCATATGAAGTATACCGACTTGTTGCAGAGCAGGAATGCTCTGCAGATTCTTAATGATGTGCATTAAAAGAATATACTGCCACATGCAAAATAGGATCCTGCCTGGTAATTAATATGTGTTTGTAGATCACCTGCAATGTTTAAACTGAATAAACAATCCTTGTGGTAAACTCACCACTGATTCAATTCCTTAACTTTGCAGATATTTTCTGAAGTAGATTACTCTCTCAAGCTCAAACTGTGAAACTGGCAAGCAACATTAATGGAAGTCTGACACTCCCTCTCATGCAAGTCAGGAAAACTCCCGTCTTCTCCAAATATCTGGGAACTATTCTCTATCTAAGAAAATGAAAATCTGTAATTTTCCAGCCAGACACACATCTATACTGCTGTTGATCCATCTGCACTCTGTGTTCTAAATCAATTGCTTCTCTCACCAAAGGTCCTTGGAGTAGAATTCAATACAAAGGATGGTAACTATAAAGAGCACATACTAGAATTAGATTTAGAATTAATATACAGAAACTCTATCAGAACTCTATCAGAAAATTACATTTTAAATCTGCTTTTTATAATACCTTTTGTGACATGGCAAAGAGTGAATAACAGGTAACTTAGAATCACAGAATTGCTAAGGCTGAAAGGGACCACATTGGGTCATCTGGTCCAGCCTTCCTGCTCAGGCAAGGTCATCTTTGAGCACAAAGCACAGAACTGTGCCTAAATGGTTCTTCTGCCTTAATGTCTGTAGGTACTTGAAGATCTGAAAAAAAATTGAATTAAACTCCTAACAGTAAAGTCATGCATCTTGATTCATGAATAAACTGAGGGTGGGGAAACCTTCCTTGACTTCGCACTAACCCTTTTTATAGCTCCATATGAATGTGAAACAGAAGGGGTGACAGAATGTTTTCCTTCAGCACCCCACACTTCAGAATTTACTGGGAACAAAAGTAATTACAAGTAGATATCAGGGTCTCTTGGAGAAAATAGAGCAGATGTCAATGAGATTCCCACAAATCTTTTCAGTAACCTCTTGCAATGGAAAGAATTTCTGAGCTGTTAATCACTGTAATATTATCAAGGATATGTATTTATTGAAACTAAATGTCGCAATGGTAACTGCAGATGTATGCAACACAGCGGACCCATTTTTGTGCATTAGCACAGTCATTCCTTGCTGCTGCATTAGCTCTTCCAGGTGAAGCTAACTGTAGAAAAATGCCATGAAGATTAATCCAGTATTTCCGTCTGCAAAAGCTGGGCCTGTGTGTGTGCTGACTGATCTTTTACCTCAGCATCAGAGATGAGGTGTGAGCCCAATCCAGGTGGCTGATTTTGAAAACTCACAGCTCGCAGTGGTGCTGTGTGTTCGCACGGCCCTCGCACGCCTTTGTTCTGCCGCAGCGTTGGCTGGCTGAGAGCTGAGCGTCTCAGCTGATCACTGGGTGTGCATTTTGGCACTAAAGTGCCTGATGCTTCCAGTGCAACATTCATTGCCTCTGTCAGGGGCAAACCCATTCCCAAAGAACAGTTTTCAGGAGGAAATTAAGAAGGAGCAGAAGTACAAAACAAAACCAGCCCTTTGCTCCCTGTTCCTCCCACCACCACTTCCCTCTTGAAGCAAGGATCTTAAAGATTGATTGAAACAATGTTGAATAAAATTATTTCAGGCATATGGCTTTTAATTTCGTTGCATTTATTTGGCTTCTATCCCAGTATCATTAAGTATTTGAATGGTGCTTTAGCTCTTTAGAAGCAGAGAATTCAAAATAATTTTAGTATTAAATACAAGGCCTGCTGTTTGCATGCGTGAGATTTGGATTGCCTTATTTACACACATATCTTTTAGGTATGCAAGATTAAGCTGTTTTTCAGCAAAATTAGATTAATGTGGAAAAATTAGTGATTTGTTTGAGGTCCCTCAGTGAGTGTCAGCGATGTGGCCTAAACTGTTCAGATAGAAGCTGCCATGCTGAAACTGAGTTTTGTCTGTTAAAACTTCAGTAGGAGTTAAGCATGCTTTGGGTAAATATATCAAAGCCACCTGCTAGAAATCATTTTAGCTCTGCAGTGTTCCAAGAGTCCTGTCTGGGTCTGAAAATAAATATCATGTTGCATTTTGTACCTTATATGTGGTACGGTCAGCAATTCAGTTCCAGGCTAAAAGAAGGTTTGGAAATGGTGTCTCCTCTAGCAGTCTGAAACTGCAGTGGGAATTTGAGGCTGTAAGAACATTCTGTAGCAGTTAAAGAAATGCAAAATTTCAGTCATAGACCATACTGTAAAAAAAAAAAAAACCTTAATTTTTAAAGTATCTTTTAAAAATTTGCAGCAGTAGTTTGCTGATGGCTGCAGCAGAAGAATAATATAAAACTTCATTCACTGCCAGTTATTTATTCCCATAGCTCTCAAGAAATACAAAAAAATCTCAAAAATCAAGAAATCTCAAAAAAATACTATTTTTTTGACCAGTGGAATGTCTGGCTTTGTTATTAATACAAGAGTATGCATGAATATACATGTTACCTCAGAGGTACAGTTAATTCAGGGTTCCTGTTGAGTTGAACAGAGCCTGGAATTCTGTTTTGATATTTTGTTTACTTGTATTAATTAGGACCTTAATCTCCCATCATAAAAATGGCCCCTCATGCATACCTTCCAACTTTCTCCGACATAACCAGGCAGTTTATATTTTTAATTTATTTTTTGAAGCTGTATTACATTACAAAATCTGATTTTACCTTTGTTTTATCTCGGACTTGACGTGGGAATAATGAGAGGAGAATGTTTTTGACTTCTAGTGTTTTTGCCCATTTGCTAAAGTACTTTTAGGCAGTGTATATGGAACAATACAGCTAAGCCTGGCTAGTATGCTGGTGCCACTTTATCCTGAGATAAAGCTGTGACCTCAACTGGCAGTAGGTGGAAAATAGTGTCTGCTCCTTCTCATAACATCAGTGGGTTAAAGCTGGCTGTTATATAGCATGTTGTGAGTTTTTTGCAGTTGTATTTTGACTTGTGTTTTACTATTTGTTTGTTTGTAAGTAATGTATGGAGTTGGGATATATAAATAGATTAAACCTTCGTGTGCACTTTATATTATTTTGGTGCAAATTATTATCTTTAAAAAGTGACCTGATTTGCTACTCCATTAGGATTCCTGTGAGTGCCAAGACACACGTCCTGATTCTGTGCATAGAAATACATCAAGCAACATTAAGAATGTCAGTTTTGTCTGGATAGACATATTAAATCACTGGATGAAAACAACCACATCTGCTTATAAATCGTTGAAAAAGACTTGGTAACTTCAGCAGCTTAGAAAATATTTGGAGAGACCGACTCTTTACATCTTTAGTTTGCACAAAGGAGTGAATAAACCTTATAAGCAGCTTTTAAAAATATTTCCACATTCCTGTATGGAAAATATTTTTAGTTTATAGTTTCAAGACCAGAAGTTAATCACTAGTTTTTTAATCCTACAGCAAATATTTACAAGAAAGCTACTAAACACATGAAGATAGGGTGACTTATAATGGCAGTGAACAGCTCATCTTTAACTTTGGAAGGGCAAGCAATACGAATTTAATTAAAGCAGTGTTAAAATAGGACTGCCATTTGTATCACAGTGATTCTCCACCCCTCCAAAAAGCTCTGCTGCCCTTTTGTACCACACATTCTTGTCCTGTGCAAATTAATAGATCATTTTATTTTCCACAGGAAATCTGAAGACTTTTATAGCAAATCCTCCAGTGTCAAAATGAACACAGGTATGCTGCATCTGTGAGATTTTTTTTTTTTTTTTGTGGTGTTTTGTGATCTAAGAAGATCCCAAATTTACTAGAATTTACATAAACATATTGTACTTTAGGTGGTGCTGAACTCAAAACAAACAAGATATTTTAACAGTGTGCCTGCTTATGTGCATTTGTATCCCATATATAAAACTTACATACATGTTTTTCTATGTATGGAGATATATGGATACACAAAATAAAAGTGCATGCTTAGACTTCTGTGCTTAATTTAATAGTATCAGTTTTGTGCGTGTGTGTTTTATGTGAAAATACATAGTATGAGGATATAAGAGTGATAGAAAAGTGTTATTAAAGCATTACATTTTCCTAAGAAAATGCACATGCTTTAGAAATCCTTTCTTTCCGTTCTGTACTGTCACTAAATTAAGGGGCATATAACTCCTGTATTTTAAACTGCGCTTCAGTATCAGCTGAGGATAATCTTGAGGGCATGTTATATTTACAGGGCTTTGTATTTTCTTTCAAGTTGCTGTAACAGATGAATTGACCAAATTCAGGACTCTATGGAAAGTTATCTTCATGATCTATGACAGCGTAGTAATATTTGCTCCTGAACTTGTGAAGTCAATAAGATAGTGCTGCTCTTTGTGCTGGAAGGGGGAATAGGCCTCTGAAAAGCAGACTGCTGAAATCCTGGCCTCACTCGGGTGTAAATTTTCAATTGCTGTCAGCTCTTTTAGACTCCATAGGTGAACCGTCTGGTTTGCAGATTAACTGTGGTGCAAGGATAGACCTATCCATCCTTTCCAAGCCAGTGGCTTTATTACTGACTCTAGTGCTTCACCACGGCATGATATGTGGGACCTGAGGACCAGAACTACCCTTGAAGTCTGAGTTTCAGCAGCATGCTCTAAATCAAAGAGATTAGCTTTTCTGTGGTTTAGGTGGCATTATCTAGATCACTGTATTAATCCAGCTTCATGGCTTCCTGTTGTCTTAGACACCTGAAACTCAGTAGGATCCATTTTTGGAGCATATCTTTTAATACAAAGTTGAAATATATTGGGTCACTTGAAACCACTACATTTGTTAATAGAATAAACAGGAGAAATTAAGTTTCTTATTTGAGTGTGTACTTTTGTTCCCCAAAGTTTTGGTTGTTCTTAATTGTTTCTCAAATCCTAACCAAGGTGGTGTATTTTTCATTTATAAAAATACTTTTTGAAATTTGTGCCGTCCTCTCTCACTTTTGGTGGAGACGTCTTTCCTAAACACGTCAGTATGCATAATTCAGGTAGTACTAAAATACAACTCGTTTCATGGAACTGTAATTTCAGACGTAACTTTCCTAATCATTATACTATAATTACATCATGCTTTGCCATCATATGAGTCAAAATCATATGATAGAGGTAATTTTATAGCTTCTACTTCAAAAAATATGAATAAAGAGGTAAATTTGTGCTACTTCAGCCCTGAAGTATGACTTTGTTCGATGTTGTACTAAGATTTTTTATGTAAGTTATGAATAGTCAAGGGAGAAGAAGTAAGATTTAAATAATCTGTGGCTGAATGACTTCTCCTGGGGATTGAGAATCTTCTGGTCACACGGGATCCTTAAAAGCAGACCTTAAAGACCTGCACACACCTGAAATCCTCTCCAGTTACTTAAAGATACCATGATTTTAGATTGAACTTTAATCTACTGTGCACTTGGACAGTGAAAACATTTTTTCATCTTCTATATGCCTGATATTAATGTGCATGTTATCAGCTGCACTGAAAGGAAGGTATTGACAAAATGTGGCATTTCTTATCAGTTCTATTGAAGTAGATTTTTTTCTGACTGTAAAAGAAAATTAAAAACCTGTGAGTAGAGTGTAAGAGTGGATATCTTGAAACTATCCATGCATCTATCTAAAGCATTACTTCATTAAGAAAGAGAGTGATTCAGGTGGAAGCTGTTCTGTGTCCCAGTCTGGCTATTTCCTTTTTTCCTTTTTTCCTTTCTTTTTTTTTTTTCTTTTTACTTTCTACACTATGCTGTCTTTTGAACAGGAGTGCTACAGCTTTGGTTTGGAGTTGGTTTTTCTTATTTACCTGCTTACCTACTGTTTTTTCTTATTTACCTGCTTTGTAACAGAAATTTGTACATGGTGCAATTGTAGGTTATCAGATGCTATTGATTTGCCACTCGTTTTTAAAATATGTGTTTCATTAATGACTCCTGCAGACAAATGAGCTCTCTAATTTGAAGCCAGTAACTGGTGGAGTGGCAAAGCTAATATATATACAGCTTTAAAAAGAAAAAGTAAATCTACTGCTTAGACTGGGTTCCTCTAATCCAGTGCTCCCTGTGGCTGCAGACTTGGCAGTCTGTCTCACCAAACCCTCCGGAAGATATTTTTGTCTACAGAGAAAATGTTTTGAAGAGCTTTGGTTTGCAATACTCTACCATATATGGGAGGGATTTTTAGCATTTGATGTTAATTCTGTACCACATGTTAGGAAGGAATATTCAGCAGCAAAAGGCCATTATGAAACATTTTTGAAAAAGCAAAGAAAGAGAGGTAAGATATTAGAGAAGGTTTTTCAGAAGTATCAAGGGTACTTGAGCTTCCTTTTGGAGTTTAAATGTTGTCATAATTTTAAAATAGTAGTCTCATAGAATGTGTGTGTGTGTTTTTAAACCCAGAGAAAGCAATCATCAACAGAATAAAATTTTAAGCTATATTTAGGGGGTTTCTTTAATAAGTCTTCAGGTATTTTGCAGATTGATCATTAACTTGGTTGCTCGATTAGCTAACTCTCAGAAAACATGAGCTGCCCCTGAAACTCACATCAGATTAAAACACAGGATAAATATATGCATGCATTGCTCATGTCAAGGAGAGGTAATTGCATTGAGGAATAATAAATGGATAGAAGTTAATAGTTAAAACAGATTTTTAGTGTCCATCTGTAAATACTTTGGCTGAATTTCACACAGATCATTCTTGATAAATGCATCTAATTTTAAAGCTGTTAAACAAGTTAGCTGTTTGCATTAGATGAAGCACATAAAGAACAGCCAAAAGTGAAAAGTATGCAGTTCTGGAAGACTGCAAATATTATCTGTTTGTTAAAATTATTAATGGAAGTCATTACATGGACTGTTCTCTTATATTTTGTCTAGGAGACAAAAACACAATTTCTTGGTTCCATGAAGAATTCCTGAGCAGATTGTTAAGCCATTTTTAGATCACTGAAGTAAATTAGGTGGGCTTGAGTTCCAGGCATTCTGCAAAAAATTTAAATTTTAGCAGCATGAAAGAACCAAATAATAGGTTTACCTGTCAGTGTAGATTATGTAATAAAAAACTCGTCAGCACATCAAAAAAAAAATTCAGAAAAAGAGTGGAAGGAGAGGAAGCCCAAGTAATAGCCTGCCCTGCCAGGAGACTCCCAGGCCCATCAAGGAGCCATCAAAGGCTTATCAATCTCCTTAAGCCTGGAAGAGCACAGGGACACAAGGGCAGACAAGAACACAAATCAGGGTGACCCAAGGAACAAAGGGTCTCTCTTGTCCAGGGCCATCCCAGGGATGTCCCAGGAAAGCAGGCATGGAATGAGTGGCAGACTCGATGTTTGAGCCCAGTTGCTGGAAGGATCCACTCTGTCCACATGTGCCATTCTCCATAGTGGACCTTCAGCCAGAGAGGGCAGGGTGGTGAGGCCATTGTGCCATGTTAGTGTGAGTGTTTGGAGTTGTGTGTCTGGCCATGGATGTGGTGTGTACATCTGTCTGCTGGGAAGGCATTTTCAGTCTCCCTCCGTGTTGGACCTGGGGACATAAAGAGGCAGAAGCTTGGTCTGTCTTGGACAGTTGGACCCAGCACTATATATTTACCTGAAAAGGTCAGAATGCAAGTAAGGAGGAAGAAGCCCTGCTCTAAAGACTTCTAAACTTGAATTCACTGTGCAGACAAAAGGAAAAATGATACCGTCCACAAGTACAGTGAATAGAATAATAATCAGCAACCTAATTTTTGGATGCCATTTTCCTTTTCTTTAATAAGCATTAAGAGCTTATTTAAAATTTCTTGCCCCTGGCTGCTCTCTCTCACATCTTCACACAAGGTCACCATCCTTTCATCTTTGCTCCCTTTATTTATGCCACTGTTTTTACTGACTCTCTGAAACAGTCTTTTTAAGAAGCCCACCCCTTGCTCCTAAATGAAATGGTGGTGTTTTGAATCGTCTCCATCTGGCTTTGGGGCAGGACCCAACCAGTAGACTATTTGTCAAATGCAGATACAGCTCACTTAGGATGATGCTGTCTCTAAATGGGAGCGACTCTTGGGGCTATGAATTTAGGGGGAAGGGTTAAAATGTGGAAAAAATTAAGAGAGGAAGAGAAAAAGAAGCTGCAATTGCATTTTAGGCAGCTGTTTTGATTGTGAGTTATTGCCTGACTTCATATTCTAGCACTGCCTGCAAACCTTAGCTGATTTGGGTCTCCTTTGCTTCAGTGTTAAAGCAATTCCTAGTGACACAGGATTCCTTCCTGAAGAATTTTTCAAGTCAAAGGAATTATGAGTGTGTGTATGCATATTTGTGCCCACATTTTTTATATATGCAGACATTTCGTACAGAATGTTTCATATAACCTCATTTGTTCCTTAAATAACAGCTATGTGGTATAATTGCTTATAGTTTGCAAGTGAAATGAACAGATCATTAATTCAGTCTCCCTTACTGTTTCCTAATACTCCACACTCCACTTAATGGGAGCCTGGCCTGAATGTAGATGAGAGGATGGAGCCCGTCATGCATCAATATGTGCTTAGCCACACACGTTCCTACTAGAAATTTTGCACAACTCAATATTGTATAAATGTGAGGCTATGTCTTTACTGAGTGCTAATTAGATCTCGTTATTTTGTACAGATACTGATAAATAATGCAGGTAAAGACTTGTGAATATATATAAAATATATATGGGGTAAATATTGTATGTGATCAGTTACAATCTGTTTTATTTCTCTTGCATGAAGCCAAAACACTTTGCTAGATTATGTGTCTATGAAGTATAAAACTCTGACTCAGTTGAATTACATCAAAAACTAAATTGAAGCAGAATTTCCTGAAGTTAAAATAATTAAATGTTTGTAGTCAGTTTCCTGTTTTCTTCACTTTCTCTATCATGAAATTCAGGAAGGTAGCTCTTGAAAAATTGCAAATAAATTACCACTTAGTTTGAATAAGACCTGTGACAGTATAACAAATTTTTTTGCATGTTAGCTTATATTAAGTGTAGTATGCTTTCAAAGGCTGCCAATATTCATATTAGAACAGAACCTCAGTAGCTACACATCATCAAATCTCATTGTAATTACCTCTGATGGATGTCAATGGAGGGGGAAAAGGAATACAAGAATGGAAAGTGTAATTTTAATTACAATTTCCATTCTGTATTTATGTAAGCAAAATAAAACACATGTGCAGATTTGATAGCCATTGCCTTTTTGTCACATGTACAATGCTAATAATTAATGGCAGGTAATGTATTGCTTTCAACTACTGCTGGCTGATATAATTGGGCTTTTTGCCTTGCTCCTTGGAATTGGCAACGAGTCTTTGGTACCACTTACATCTAAGGCAGTGGCTCTGATGTTTGCCAATGTTAACAACTACTTAATGCATATCCTACAGGGCCTGTAGCCAGGGGACTATTGGAAATATTGGAGCAGCAGGAATGAGCAAAGAAATACCAGGAGCTTACTGCTCTTGCAGACCTGGATTAAAGATGATTCTGTGGCTCAAATTGCTGCTATTATGGCAAATACTTTCTGTGAATAGGTTGCAGGTCTTCATTAAGACCTTAATTTTATAAAACTCCCTGTCATAGGTTACAGAAATAAAAAGGCATTCATCATACTTGTTGTTCTTGACTTCATTGAAGCACTGAATGAAATCCCAATAGTATCTAAATACTAAAATTAAAATAATTATTTTAGTGAAGAGCAGAAAAGTACTCTAGTTAAATATAAGTGCTAATACTTATTAAATTTCTTTTACAACTATACTAGAGTTGCTAAAAAGTTAACTTGTGGGAAAGCGGTCTTCTAATAATAAGAGAATATTTATAAAATCAATGGCAGCTCCAGTGAGAGAGGAGTAGAATAAAGAAAGGAACTGAGCAAAATCCAGAAGGAAGATTTTTTTCTATACCTTATTTTTTAAAAATTATTTTAGACTTCTGTTCGTTTCCTCAGAATGTTATTTGGTTCCAGATATACATTTCTTTTATTTTTTAACTTATATTAGATAAAAAAGGGGAAGAGGGACAGCCAGTTTGTTCCATCAAAATGAAAAAGAATTTATGCCTTCACTGGTAATTTTGTTTCTTGATCCAAAAGATTGAACAAAAGTACTTTTTCAACTGATCAAACATGAGCTTAGTTTATGAATGGTGTCTTTCTAATGCATACAATTAAATTATTTTACAGTGCAGATTGTTGATTAATATTATTCTGGAATGCTTAAGACTTTATTTTGATTACTTGTTTGCTTTTAGTAATTAGCTGTAATTAAGCAGTTTTTCAGGTAACAGAGTGTACATATTTCCCTAGTGGATTAAGTATTAAATAAAGCTTTCTTCACTTATTCTCTGTGAGGTTTATTGTTATTTAAAGCTTGTGAAATTTTATGTATTCTGCTAATCTGCCAAACCTGCAAATTCACGCATTTCTGCAGCAGTTCCCTAACTGCATGCTTATTTTCATATATGTTGGGCATATCTCACACTGTGATGTGTTGCATGTGCTTGCCCCCTTTGTCTGGGGCTGCTGTCTGTATTGTTTTGTGCTTCCAGATAGCGGTGGCTGTGCTCGCAAACGTGCTGCAATGTCTGTCACATTAACAGCTGTGAAGAGAGTTCAGAGTTCTCCAAACCTATTGGCCTCAGGTATCACCACTAACCACTGAGATACAACTTCTGAATGGCTTTTTTCTACTGTTGTGCATTCCTGCCATATTACTTTGCAAGGAGGAGAAGGGTAGCACTATTTTCTATTACACTGACAGATGTATTACTTCTACAATGCTTTTGAGAAGCAATGCTTTTTAGAAAGTGTTCTTAATTCCTCTCTGCCTATGTTTAGTAGCCATTCATGAAAAAAAAAATTGGGAATACTTAGGAAAAAATTAATTATATTAGTAAATTAATAAATTAGTAAATTAATTTTGCCCTTGATATGTGTTTTGGGTCTCACATCCCCTGTATTTTTTTCAAGATAATAAAGCATGAAAAAGAGGTTTTGCTTATTACAAATTTTTTATTGAAACTTGATTTAAAAACTCTTCTCAAGAAAAGGAATCTGAGTGTTGTTGTAAAATTATTGTCAGAAGCCAGATTAGTTTAAAAAAATTATGAAGATTGTTTACCTAAAAATATTCATAACAGTTAAAACACAACAAATACCTATTAGACAGGCAGAACTACTTCTTATCAATACTCCTGTGTGTTTTTTGCAAATTTAATTTATTTCTAACACAAATTAATACTGGCTATTTCTTTTTCAGGGTCTGATTCTCAGTCTCCAGATTCAGGTAAATAAAACACTGTATTATTTATGTATCAGTGTAATACCATGTAAGTGGATGAATTACAACAGTCTTCTATATTTATTTGATTTCATTACTCCCTACTTCCTCATTCTTCAAGGAAAACACCTCTAAAGTTTTAATCCTAATTGTTAATGGTTAAGACCTCAAATTCAGGTCTCATTTGAAAGCAGTTATTCCCTCTAACACAGAATATGTTGTCAGAAAAATGAATTGTGTGGGAAAAAAACAGACTGCTAATTTGCCACCTTTAGCTTCATCACTGTGGCACCATACAGTGGTACTTGCTATTTCCTTTTTAGTGCCTTACTCAGGATTGCAAGTTCTGCCCACCTTCACTTAGCAACCTGCTCACATAATGTGTTACTTTTCCCAGCTTCTTACAGTATTTTGTCTTCAACATCTCTCTCTATGTTTGGCCAGTGCTCTGAGGGCATTCCAGGTCTGAGGATAGAGAGAAAAACATGGTTGGTTGGTTGGTTGGAAAATAGAGGTGTCATTTAGATTTTGCAATGAGATTGGAACATTATTGCAACAACTAGTTGGGTACTGTGGTAAAATTTTGTGAAACTGCCATGACCAGCTGACTTTACATGAGCTGAGATGTTTGTCAAAATCTAACACAGCCATGAAGTTCAAGAATGTAATCTGAAAGTGAAAAAACTTGAGCCTGATTTATACAGAGGCCAAAGCACCAGCACCTCAAAAGAACTCTCAAGGTTAAAAATCCATAGTCTATATGAATATTGTGGGAAGATGTCTAACTGCCCAATACCAGAACTGTTGTCAGTGCTTGAATTCTCTAAATTTTGAAGATTAATACTTTGTAGAGTGGCAGCTTTAGCCATGTTCTTATAACTTCATGTTAAAACGGCATCATTGTCAATTGTGTAGTTTGTTTAGCAGCTGGGCTGCTATGTTGAGAGCAGTGTAGATGTACTAATCACACCAAAAAATGTTTTCATTCTTTTTTATTTAAAAAGCCTGGCGATCTTACAATAATGGCAGTAGAGAGACACTGAATGGAGACGCTAGCAGTTCATCTCTTTCAGCAAAAGGTTTTAGGAGCGTGCGGCCAAATCTACAGGATAAAAAATCACCAACTCAGGTAAAACTGGACACACCATGTTTAATGCTATGCCACTGCTGGGGGGTTAGCACTTATAGATGGGATACCTCTATGAAACATTGTCTGATGCCTTGCAGCTAGTGTGACTCACCTGCTCATGTGGGTCACTACAGACTGGTTTGCTGCATAGATAAAGCATACTCCACACAGGCTGTATGCCCCCAGGTTAATTACCAGAAATTGCTTCCAATGAGCAAGACAGCTAAATAAAACTAGGTCATACACAAATAAAAGCTTTCTAGGAGTGTTCCCAGACTTCAAAGAGTATTTGTTAATAGTTTACACTTTGAAAAATGCACCAGTCATCAAAATATCTGAGAATTAAAAGTGTATTAATTATACGGTAGAAAATGCTTCTGCCTGTTTTCCAGAACAATGTAATTAGAACACACTAAAAACAGAAACAAAAAAAAAAACAAACAAAAAAACAAAAAAAAAAAAAAAAAAAAAACATCCCCACACTTGGAAACATCTTTATCTGTCCAGCAAATATCAACATACCAATTTTAATATTCTCTCTGGTACTCTTTTAATTAAAAAAATTAAGAGGCTCTGTGTTTTATTTATGTGTGTTACCTGTGAATAATTGCTTGCTAAATAAGATCACAGAGTGCTTACATACCTAAATGCTTTCACAGCAATAATTCTTTCTCAGTGTAATAATTGTTTTTTAAAAGAAAAGGAATGATTGTGGGCTTCCTTCTGATCCTTTCTGATCCCACTTTGGTCTAAGCAGATGGAACATCTAGCTTTTTAAACAGAAGTTGCACAGGAAATGGTGGTGGGAACCTGACCAATTTAGTTGTTCATTGAATTTATCAATGTTGAGATGAAGCCCTTTAATTTACTAGTTCCTTTATTTAAATATAAAAGTAAAACTGAACTATATCTCCTACTAACATTTACTTTCTTTCTGTTTCTTCTTCAATGTTATTTTTCTGTGTGTGGATGCTTTTGGCAAATAAGGCACCTCTGCCACCTCCTAGAAAAGAAAGCTTTCGGAAAGCAAGAGTAACTAATCACAAGAACGAAATTAATCTCCAGGCAGTAACTGCTGGTCCAGCTAAACACCACCTCACAGATACTGCCTATTACACTAGCGAGACGTTTGTTCAGGAGACAATGTCTTCTCAAATAGCTAACACAAGTGTGTCCTATGCACAAAAAATCATTAAACCACTGACCTCAGTCTCCAGTGCAGACACAAGCACAGTAGCTGGCATTAGTACTACTCTCCATCAAGGCCAAAGGCAACAGGCTCAGAAACGTAAGATATCTACCCTGAAATTAACCCGGACACGTGGCCCGGCAAGTAGCGCTCCTTGTAATTCACAGCAACAGCTCAAGCCTGTTGAAGAGCCAGTATTTTCACAAAGGCCTATCTCACCTGCCTGTAACCCCATGCCTGAGATACACACAGCATCTCTTTCCGTTCAGATAGTTCCCACCCCTGACAATAAAGCAGAGCCTGAAATCCAAGACCATCCACCTAGTATTTCTCCAGACACTTCAAAGATGTCTTCAAAGGATTTGGGACAAAAGTCTACAGTTCTTCCTTCTTCACAGGCTCCAGAATGCCATGTGGTATATTTAATTTTTCCATCTTTTATTTTAGATTTTCATGAATCACTTAATAACAATCTGTTTAGTTATACTTATATTACCAAAGCTAGATCCTGTGTTTTCTGGGTAAAACTACCTGTCATGTGGATCAAAACAGAAATGAACAAAAACTGAAAGTTTTGGATGGTTACTAAAAAAAAAAATTTAGCTGAGATGGAAGGCAGACTTCTTTTTTCCTCTGTGAGCACTTTGCAAAGTGCAAACGCACCACAGGAGATTAGTGTGCTGTAGGGCATGCATCTCTCAAGTGGCTCTTCCTAGAGAGGATTGCATTAGAAGGTTATGCTGCCATAGGTGCTGGAAGGATCAAGTATGGATAGTAAGGTTAGGCTGAGTTGGTTTGAGGGAAGCTTAAATGCACCTCTGTCAGTTTTCTAGGGCTGCAAAAAGTACATTTTGCCAGTCAATGCTTTCTAAAAGGCTGGGCACTGCCATCTCCTATGTGTCCTGTGCAACAGAGCTTTTTAAAGAAAATGGGTTTGTAAATTATTTGTCAACAGCCTCCACACAAAGCATCACGGGTCACTGAACTTCTAGGTCCATCTGTTTCCCCTATACCTTACACCTACTGAAATGAAAATTCTTTAATTATACTGATTTTACCTAGGAGAAATGGGAATATCAGACACACAGCATAGGACCAGAGGAGTCTGAGCAGGGTTTATCACCATTCCGAAACTCACTGAGTCAAATAAAATAAGCCTGGGCACAAGAAAGCAACAGTGAATACATACTAGGTAAAACAAGAGCTCTAAATAGGCTTTGTAATTTCTACTCTGCTTTACCTAGCCACATTAGGATTTTTCTGTTTTAAAGATAATTATTCTAGTATATCTACCAATATAACAGCTTATCGGTGTTTGAAATGGACATACAGATTGCTGTAGGTCTAGGCATGTCTGCCTCAAAGCTTTGTCTGAGTGAAAATCCCATCCTGGCATATTTGTGTTCATCTAGTTCTGCTGGAATCATTGAGGCTACTCTGAAGTAAATGCAGCACTCTCTTGTAAATTAAAAAGTCCATGTACAGCCCTTTTATCAACAGTAGTAACACATCTGTTTTTCCAGACTGAGGTTCTTTCAGAACATCACATTCAACCAGGTCTCTACTCTGGAAGGCATAAGTATCTGCATTAAAAACAGGATAATTTTAAAGTCTTAGTATATCTGTCTCTCACCCTTCAAATCCCAAGTAAAATTTTTGATCAGAACAAATTTCTAGTAAATTATATGGCAATGGTCTGCAATGCTTCTTTTGAATTCTCTCCATTAAAAACAGGAGCTCAGAACGATTAATCACATTTGTCCTCCTCAAGACTAGACACAAAACTGTCATCTTAAATCCTTCTTAGGCTGCATGAAATTTAGAACATTTTGAGAAAAAGCAAGTTGCTTTACCCTTTAAAAGAACCAGTCTCATACTCAGTGATTTTTGTCAGGTACGACAAATCAGTTCAAACAAGAGCCACAGTAAAGGATCCGTGTCAAAAACAGTAAGGAAAGCTGAGCAACAGCTTTTTCTGGAAGCTAGGGTAGATATGAAGCAAGTTGTTTAAATATAGGCATCAAAGGATACTGTCACACAGCAGAACAGGTGTAGGTGTGTAGGTGTGGCCAATACAACTTTTGAATCTGTTATCTTTTCACTAAAAAATAGTTGCTCAGCCTGTTGGAATATGATGGGCAGACAAATCTCTCAAACAGAAAGTATGATAGCTAACAAGGATTAGGGAAATACCTTTTTATGATCAAGAATAATACTCAAATTCAAATCAGAAGGACTAAAAATAACTCATCTTCTAGCTGTTTTTTTTTTAGAATTTTAAAAGTCAAAACACATTTTGCATTTTCCTTTTAATTTAGAATCTTGTTTAGTTTCACTTTGAGTTGAAAAAAATCAGAAAAGTATCTGTGGCTTATTTGGCAATTCTGCACTTAGTTTTCTGCCTTTTCCTTGGTTTCTGTCTGTGGGAAGCACTATCAGATATTTGGCTACTGGGCTGCTCTGAATAAAAGGAGAAAATTTTCAGTTAATCACAGAGGTCATTAAGGCATGTAGCCATGTTTTCAAGCTGTAGCCCTTTATGGATCTCTTATCTGCAAAATGCAGCTGACATTTTCTCTGATATTCAGCTTTGAAATAAATTTTAATGAAGGGGGGGTGTATTTGGCATCACAATTGAGTCATGGAGCCAGTGGTTTTTGTAGCTCCTTGTTAAAATACGCACCTAAAACTAGAGTAAAATCAGCATGTGAGGTGGTGTAAAATTCTGCATTGGGTGAGTTTCCAAAATGAAGATGCCATGATCTAAAATGAGAAGTAGAGGCTGCAGCTATATGTTTAAAAATATTTATTTTCTAACTCAGATCTCAGTTTAAAACCCTGAAATTGTTCTAGCTAATGCCAGATATTATGATCCCTTCAGTGCTATATATCATAGTATTTGCAAAGTTCACAATTTCTCTCACATAGAAAAATAACTTTCAGTATACTATGCAGAATAGTTTTTTTCATTTTTAAAATCTGCCAGCTTTACAGGACATTGCACGTACTTTTGTACGTGCAGCTTATAGTTGTATGTCAAGCTATGTCCTCAAAGGATGCTCTCAGACTGTAGATTAGGCCTGCCAGCAGTGTTGAAAGCTGTCAGAGAAACTCTCAAAAAACAAATACACTTAGAAAGGTGCAATTCTCCCTCTGCATCTGGGTTTATGTATGAGAAGGAGAATGTGGTAAGATCAGGTAATCATCTCTTCTTAAGAGGTAATAAAGAGGAAATACTGTGCATGTAGGGTATCTGTGTCTGGCCAACATGCACAACTGTATTTTGTCTCAAAGTATGGAAATAAACAGCCCATAGGGAGCTTTTGTGGTCGAAGTTAATGTATCTTGCTGTGATGTGCTCCTATTTGCACTTTATTTCAGTGCTTATCTGTTGAAACTTTAGGAGCAAGCAGAAGTGTGCTATGACTCACCAAGTGACATTTTGTAAACACTCCTACTCAGAGAAAGGTTAAACCCCTCACAAGTATATATGAAAATAGAAGCATTCAGGTTACTCAATATTATTACATTATTACAGTCTTAATTTATAACAGAGGTGCTGCTTCTTTGTACCATACTGCAGATACAAGAGAAGAAACCGTATCTATTTCAACAGAGAAATTTGTATTTTCTAGTGTGAAACCAGTGGAGGTAAATTTTATTGTCCAAGTTCCTTATAAGAAGAAATTATAAACTGATAAAGACTTCTGAACTGCATCTTCAGAAAGAATAACCTGATATTTTTTGATTATTTTGTTCCCGGGTTCCTCAGTGTCCTATTGTTCTACATACCACTGTCTGAAACTGAGGTTGCAAAGCACTTTTTCTGTTATTTGAATTCCTCAGATGGTTTAGTCCTGATGTGCTGGAGGAGTAAAACATCTATAGCAGATGTTTATTAAAGTGTTTCTTTTGACAGCCTTATAGCTGTAGAAGTGTGCATCAAGGAAAATAAGCCCAAAATTTAAAAAAAAAAATTAAATCAATTCATCTAGTACATTTCTGAGTTTTAGGTATTGACAATATATAGAGTGATATGGAAGAAAGAGAAAACTGGTTTCAGCATCCTGGGTACAGATGTGGAGCAAAGAAAACTGAGCATGTATTTTTTCATTTTAAGTTCTCCATCACCTAGTATTGCTTTAGTCACAAGGGCTGAACTCCACCTCCTTATACTGAATTTAGAAATAAGAGGGCTAGGTAGAGAAATGGGCACTGGAATATAATTAGCAGCATTAGTTTGGGCATTTTGAAATCAGCTTTTAATAATTAAAAATAGAGGTATTTTTACCCATTTATGCAAATGTATGGGTGTAATTTGATTGTTGATTACTAAACTCTGCTATGTATTAACACAATGAATTTATTCACTTATCTCTGAGTCTCCTTATCTGTGTCTTGACTGTTGAAGCAAGGCCAGGACTCTGGTGTCATTAGTAATCTCACACCACTCCCCACATATCTTGAATTAAAGCAAGAGATGACTGGTTTTAAAACCCATACTAGGGTCACCTGTTTACTTTATATGAATTGAATACCAGCTGTGTTCTTTGGCCTGACATTTTACTATTTGATGGAAAAGAAGTGTTTCAAAAGACCAGCAGAAGGCTGCTCTTCAGACCTTGAATTCACATCAAGACTGATGACATTCATCTGTCTCGCAAGTGTGGCTCCACAACCCAAGACAGCCACAATCAAGCTAGTTTTTCATCTATCTATTTGATTAAGTACTTATTTGGCTTTTCTGCCTGACTTCTGCTAGCATTTCTTGTGCTATATCAATAACAAACCTAATCTGAAGCATGCTGAATGGAACTAGTATTAAAAGTTTTCTGGAATGCATTCAGCCTTGTCTTTCTCATATTTTTCGCAGTGAAAAATATAAGAAAATATGATTCATATATGAAATTGCATGCACAGTGAAGAATACGGATTAGTAGTAGCCAGTTGTATGTGTTTGAGACTACCAACATTCCATGGTTTTTTAGGTGGTATAAATCAGTTTTCAAAAACAATGCTGTTTTAAATCACAATTTCAGCCATTTTTTCCCAGATAAATGTTTATACACACAAAAGTATTCTAGACTCAGGCAGAATAGCAGTTCTACTTTACAAAGCCAAGAAGCTTCATGTTGGGAACCAGCACCTATAATTGCTGCATTCCTTCTCTCTGCAGTGTAAGAATAATAACTTTATATTTTTTTTTAAGAATTTGGCTTGATGAAATCAACTGTTATTTACCAATCACAATAAATTAAATTCTTTAAAGTCTCAGTTTCATTAGCTCTCTGGATGCACCCTGAATATCTGTCCTTGTGTTGTCCATCCCTTCTTTTCTCAAGCATGCAAGAAATCTCCTCACTTCAAAGACAGGTTTACTAGCTTTCTCAGCTCCCCAGGATTTCCTGTTATTTTAACTCTATAGAGATTAATTTACACATTTTGGCTCACTAATATGTAACTTTTTTTCTGGAGATGCTGAGAGGATAAGTGGTCTCAAGAACTTCAGAGCTTGTTTTTGGCTCTGCCTCATAATTACAGCATGATCTCCTGTTTCCTGTCTTTTGCTGGAGATCTTGATACGATCTTGATGACATAGATGATGAAAATCATTATGAATGATGATTCTGTCTCCCTTTTATGTACCTCTGAGGTGGAATTACAGTTTCTTATTTGTGTATGTAAATACACACATCTTAAATCCCTTATATATTATGCTGTATAATCATCATAATTTTTCATGACATTATTTTAATAGTACTCCGTTGTTCTTATGAGGTTTCTATTGGCAAATTAGTTCTCTATGAAAATACTGTGTCCTTTTACAGTCAGACATTCAGTTATTATTTTAATTAAGAGTTAATCTGTTCAGATTTCCTCTATGAAAAGATTAAGTTGGGGATGTTCAGTTATTGCTGTGAATAAGATTTGGATTTTAAGCTGTTTGACTAAGTTTATTCACTGTTTTGACTGCAGATTTTTACAGCAGCTTTTGCCTATTGTTGTGTACCCTAGAGATCCAGTGATTCCAAAGATTTATTTTGAATCAGTTGGAACAAGTAATAGATGTCTGTTCACGTACTCAAGATTCTTTTCTGTAATGCTTATTCGTAGGGATGGTCCCATTGACCTCAGTAAGGCTATTTGTGTAAATTCTAGTTGATCTCAACAAGAATTATGCAACTGGAACCCCAGTGACCTCTTGTAAGTAGCATAATCTGGGTTGTGTTCCAAGTCTTCCATAAGGGCTTTAGAAGATATTTTCAGATTTTGGATTAAAATGCCAAAATGGCATTTTAATCTGATGGCTTGAAACATTTTTTGAATTATTAAAGACATCTGCCTAGTGTAAGCATAGGAAAGAACCATATTACTGGTAACAGTGTGATATGGATGACAGAATGCTGCTTTTTTAAGTAATATTTACTACATACAGCGTCTTATTGTTTTACATGAATTTAAAATCCCAAATACTCTTTCCCAGTAACTATTCCAGATGTCCTCAGCCCTATCAACAGTGAAACCATTAGTGCTGAAGTAGGCAGTATTTTGAATACTTAGAAATTGATGGAAAGCTTGTGGTTAATAGGCAGCATAGAAGGATTTGTGCAGCTGTTTAACAAATACTTGATGCCAACATGCTTTATTTCAAAAGGAAGTTGCAGATGCAAAAAGCCAGTTGCAGGACTAGTTTAAACTGAGTGAGTGATTTGAAATGACAGAACATAAAGCTCATACATTGTATAGCAGTTTTCAGAAGCACTCTTATGAGACTGTTCCCTTCTACTTTTAAGGAACTGCGCTGAATCCAAACAACTGGCATGTTTTGTTTTAGTATGTCTTGTTCTTGTGCCCCCAGTCTTTGTTCCCCAGATTTATACCAGTCACCCTTATGTCCTCTAATGTTGAAAAGACTTCTGTGCATACACCTTATAGAATAGGTTGTGACAGGGTGCTTCCAGGGTGCTTGGAAATTCTAAGATCATCGAAATATTTTTATTAGAGAGGCAGTGGAGAAGATGTATTCAGTCACAAGAGGCAAAAAATTCTCCCACCTATCACTTGCAGATCATATGAACAGTCATTATGTGTGTTTCTGTATAGCAGGCAGTCCTGCTCATCTTTATATTACAGTTAATTTCAAAATCACACCTGTCTTTGACAAAAAAAAAAGTGTAACATTTACTGAGATCAGACTTGCAGATACATTTTTGCTTTGAAAACTACATGGACATGACATTCTCTAGCCTCATATTTACGTGAAGTATAAAATAATGTGATCCCTCTCAATGCACGATAGAGATCGTTAATATATGCAGTACATTATGAATATTCATCCTCAGCACACTATGGTTTCTGGCATTGCTTCCACTAGTATTTTATGCATTAATTTCTTTTATGTTGTCCTACTCTAATATAGAGCATGGTTGATTTATTTCCTAATCTTTGTAAATGTGAACTTCCTTGGGTGGCTGAAAAACTTACACTTCTGTGATTCCCCTTCACCCAGCAAGAGGCAAAGGAAAAAGTTCTTTATTCATTAAGTAATCTGTTTCTTTTCTTATTTTTTTTCCTCAAATCTCAGCTTGGAAACCAGAAAGTAACTTCCCCTGTGATGGAGGTAAATGCTTCACAGACACACAGACAAACAGCAACAGAAGCTTCTCCACTGCCTCTTCCTTCTCCTGTGGTACCAGTTAACAGAGCCTCTTTCTCACCAGACAGTGGCACCCACCTAGTTCCATACTCTTTGCCAACGCTTGATGATTTTTTGCCTTCACGCTTTTACAAAACCCCTGCCCTGTCCCAGTGCCCGTGCCAATGCCCGTTCCTAGCTCCTGCCAGTGTTGCCCAGGGGAGTGAAGCAGCCTCTGTGAGCACAGACTCTGCCATGAGCGAGTGCTCCTCCCGCACAGGGAGCGAGTGCTCCACAGCCATTCTAGATGAGCTGCAGACCTGTAGCTATGATACTACTGACTGCTCTGAAACACCTTCCCCAACCTTGAGCCAGATGTCTGCTGTGTCAGATGGCACCACCTTAACCAACACTGCTGCCACTTCTCATGTAATTATGCTTCCTTTTTTCCTCCTCCATTTTGTTCAAACAGGTTGTCAGAGGGGAACAGAATTCAACTTTGTCTGTTATCCCATTACACAGACAAGTATTTTGTTAATAATTTTCCATGGTCACAGTCTGACAGTGATTTGTAACAGTTGTTAAAAGAAAAAATCATGGACATAGCAGATTTGGGAGTAGGAAATGATTGTTGCATAGTTGTGTGGTCAGCTAAGGTGTATCAAATACTTTGCTTAAAAGAAAATAAACTCAAGAAATACTTGTTCTTAAAGCAAGCATTCCATGGAGTTTGAAGAGATTTGTTTAAAATATTGTTAACAATTTACAGGTTTTTGGAGTCTGGACTACCACCATTTTTGATTTACACTGATATGCAGATTTTAATAATATAATTTGTAAATTCATAATAAATGTTTGCAGTATTTAATGCAGTTTTTTCCCCAGCCATGATGACTGCACAAAACTGGTTTTCTCTAATTAACCTTTTCCTCTCCTAAGCACAGTTTCTTACAGGACTGAACTGCATAAATAATCTTGACTTATTCAAGTGTCCTGTTACTTTTCTCTTGGTTAAATCAAGGGAAAAGTCAGTATGTGGTTAGACACTTCATACATACTTCATTCACTTTCCTGTACCTTAGTATACTCATGTATGGGGAGAAAGAAGGTATGGAATCTGGGTCAAACCCAGATCACTTTTGATTTCTTTTGAGATTATCCACATGATTAAAATGAATCAGAACAAAGCCTTCATTTAAATTGAGCAATTCATTGCTGAATTGCTAAACAGAGATGTTCTGAATCCAAAGTTTTACTGGGTCACAGCAGTGTTCAAACTTTGTATAAATACTTTAGCATACAATAATTTTCAAGCCTGAAAAGAACAAACAGTATATATATATTAAGCTTTGTGTATAATTTATAAAAAGTATTTTGAGTCCAACCTTGCACATAGTCACCTGGAAAGCCAATGATTGTTTGTCATTGTTCTGGATGCTGCTAAAAAAAAAGTCCAATAGCAGGCGTGTAAAAGCTTTAATGCTTAACTTCTGTAACACAGCTTGGAAAACATTTTTTTTTTTTAATCATTACTGTGAATCTGTATACAACACAGTACTTGTAGCCAAAGATACCATAATCAGTATAGACTGGTTAGACAGAGTTAGTCTCCCAGTAGAAGACTATGTAATAATCAGATCTGACCACCACTTCCTCTTTTATATATGGCAGGGATGAGCATAACATTTGTTCACCATTAAGAGACAGAGAAAAATGAAAAGACACTCACCCAAGAGCAAAAATCCCCAAGTAGTCCTAAGAACTCCACAGAAATTTAACTGCTGGCAAAACCCAACTCTGCAGTTTAGAAAAGTCATCATCTCCCACTCTCTGTGAGAAGAGCCAGATGGATAAAAATGCATCCATGGAATGAAAAAACAGTGAGGAAGCTGGTGGCACACACACATGTTGTTAGTGGCTCTAATCCTGGAATCATCTTCATTCTCAGATTGATGTTGATGAAAACCACTGGGAGAATGATCAAAGTAATATAGGACTGGGCCATCCACCACTCTACCTGCATAAGATATAACTATGCTTTAAAGACTTCATGTCCACATAGGGAATGGTTGTTTATTTTTGAGTTTTTTAATGAGACTAGACAAAAAAAGTTCTAAAACAACTCCTATGAAGAAGCAACAGCACCAGGAAGAGCTTAATCAACAAAATTGACAAATATTAAGGCAAAAGGCAGAGCTAAAGGTAAAACTCTGGTCAATTTTCTTTACCTTTAGTCACAGATTACAGATTCTTTGAAAACCTGAAGTACAAGAGTTGTAATTCTTATTTGTGCCTCTGCTTAGAATTGGAGTTAAAATTAGAGAACAGCTGGTTTTAGAGGGTGTTTTTTCTGGTTTTATTCCAATTATGAACATTTTCCCTATAAAGTATTGTCGGTGGGTCGTTCTTTTTCATGTAGTTTGAAATTTTGGAATCTAATGGAAACTTGGAAATGGAAGTGCACATTAGAATTTTGCTTTTTCCCAAGTTCCATGACTGTCTTGAGTTTCAATTGATTCTGAGTATTTTAACCTAATTCATTGTCTTGAGGTCAGGTGTGTGCTGTGCAACATTCTTGCAAAGACCTACTCAGATATCCATAATGTGACCTCTTCTCCCTGTCTCAGCAGAGGGAAAGTTAGAAAGCAGCTCCAGTTCCAGATGGAGGCCTTCTTCTGTTCTTTTTCGGAAATCCAGAGAGCTTCTCTTTCTGATGCTCAGGCAAATTAATGGAATTTTAAACCTGATACCTCATAGGAATTTTTACAGGATCTTGATTATCTTGCTGCAGAAGTAGGTGGCTCTACTTGCAGTGGAGGACAGGTTAGGTATACTGGAGAAAAAAAAAAACTAATAGAGATTGGTAGGGAAAGGTACATAATGAAATTTATTTTTCCAGTAAATTGGAAAATAGGTGCATTTTGGTTGAATAAGGTTTTTTTTCCTATATTGTCTTCTTTTCTCACAAAGATCACGTAGGAAAGTGTCTAACTCGTGAATTGGCATCTTAAAGGATTTCACTACAATGTGGGAATAAACTTTGTCACCTTGACTTAAAGTGTCACATTCTCGTATTGAAATGTCAGTAACTACCAAATTATTCCAAAGGAAGAAAAGGCCTTTGGTAGAACTATCTTCTATAGCTAAAATGTGCAAGATGCAGCAGATGAACAAATGTAATAGCTACCTTCACAGACATTTTCCTCAAAGATAAAATCATTAGAAACTAAGAAATTATTGTGGAGCTGAGATCTTATCTAAAACCTTCAGAAGCAAACCTAAAAATGTCATATATGAACATGCCACATAGACATTTATGACTAATGTCCTTCAATTACTTGTGTGAGTCATGTTTTCATGAAATTTTGTACTACTTAGTGTAAGTGCCTTACTGTCTAACTGAGCTATTTGGTAAAGTCCTTCTCAGGAACATCTCAATCTTTTACTACAGAAATTCATAGAAGTCTCTTTCCAGTGTGCAAAGAACTCACACCAGTTCTGCTCAGAGCAGCAAAGCCATAGTAAACGAGTCAGAAGGTGTAAGGCTCTGCACGTGGTTGTACCCTGCCTTCCCTAGAAACAAGCTTTCTCACAGCATGTAGGAAAAGAAAATAGGTGAACACCTGAAGTAGAGGAGAGATGGCTGGCCTCAGTTTGAAACCTTATGTGGAAACATGCCTTCATACTGTTGAAATGCTGTCTTTGAGTTATGTAGCTCTTCTGTTCCTACATCTCCAAAACTGGGGTTTTTTTGGAGGAGAGGATCACATAAGAAAAACCAACTTGTTTTTGGTTCTAGAGTTTATTAAGAGAGGAGATGTTTAAACACAAAACTTTCAATAGAGACATCACCACAACATAAAATTTTCAGCTCATTTCTGAAAACAGGCATCCTTAAAATGAGAAACCCCCGAATGCATCTAGAAGTTCATATGATGTCTGCATAGGACCCAGAAATGTTTTTTTCTCTCTTAGCTATGGGAGGCCAAGATGTTAAAAAATTCAAATCAATGCAGTAATCTCCAAAATAAAAATGCATACAGAAGGCCAAGAATAATTTATTTTAAAAATAATGTGCATTTTAGTATGCTTTTATTTATGCTTTGCTGCTTCAGGTAGTCTCTTGTTTACATCTGCAGCATGTTTTAGTTCATTTGTTATATGAAATTGAGCAAAGTTTGTAGTTCTTCTGATTCAGCTTTAAAGAACTGTTCTGCATTAAAGATGTTGCAGAGAGCTTCCCTTGCTTTTCTGCTGGAATATTCACTAGCCTCTTATTTCATTCAATGCTTTCTCCGTGTCTCAGTTTTGATTCTTTCAATACTCCCCATAAAAGTGATACAGACTCAGTGCAGAGATTCTAAACCTGGGGGCAGATAGTTTCCTCTTGTGAAGTACCTCTAGTGACTAAACCCTAAATGGCTTTAGGTGCTTGCTGCTTAATTGCCAGTTTGCTTAGCTCTCCCATTTTTGATTTTGTTCTGTCATTTTGTGTTTGTGGGTTGTTGGTTTTTTAATTGGTGCAATTTATTTTTATTGTGATAGATTGCATATCAGCATGCCACAGTCACTCCAGCTGCCTTCCATTTTTTAAAGACATTTTTGTCACTCTTCTCAGCTAGTTATAATGAGACTTTTCCCTTCAGTCTGCACAGAAGCTCCCATTAATATCCATAGTGCTTGAGCATGTGCACTAAGGGAATATGTCTCTTGGTGTGAGGGATCTGTGGCAGACTGAGGGGAAGAGTGAATTCTGTGTTTGTGCAATTTTCATTGCCTTGACCATGATCCCTCTGTCACCTTCCCAAGACAGCATGCATCACAGCCAGCACACACAAGGAGAGAAGAGGGGAGGTACAAGGTATACAAGGAACACACTCTGCTCCCTTTGTGATAGGTTTTGTGTTGCAGTGAATGCAGATGCCATTATGGCTGTGTACCTGACAAATGGTAATTGCTGCGCGGATGACAGTCTTGCATCACTCTTTCTTTGGGATTGCAGTCGGAAAGCTTTGTGTGTACTTTAATGGGATATTGTTTTGTCTCTCTCAGGCTCAGATCACAGTGAATGGGAATTCTGGCACTGCTGCCAGCCCAGTGAGTCACTTTCAAAGGCCTTTTTCCCCTTCTTCAGCTTACCCTCCACCAGCTTCACTCAATTCCAACATTGTTATCATGCAGCATGGCAGGATGATGGGTAAGCCTCACACAGAATGTTTGCTTTATACATTACGCAACGTATTCTGATTCATGTGGCAAAGACTGCAAACAATTGCAGAGTGCTTCACATCCATAATGAAGGGATTGTCTATTCATCTACCTTGGGAAGTAAATGCAAAAAAATAATAGCATTTATTGTTAGGTACAGTAGTGATCATGAACTGCAGTTACTGTTAAGTTTTATAACCTAGGTGTGTGAGCTAACCTCTTGCCAATTTTCTACTGGCTTTACCAAGGAAAGGGCGTCTATCAAAATTGCTCAACCTGTCCAGCCCTTTCAGATTTTGTCTTAAAAAGCCAAGGGCCCCCTTTATACTTTGCTCCTCCCTACGATTTCCGTAATTCTTCAGCAGAAATACTGTCAACAAAGGGAGAGGCTCTGGGCTTTTAAAAACCTAAAGCTACATCAATTTAAAATTTGTTCATGTATTTTTTTAGTGCATTTTAATGTAAAAATTAAACACAAACCAAATACTATCAGCCTTAGTCTCTTTGCCAGTATAATCCCATTTTGCCAAGAGATACTTGCTGCTTTTTCTACCAGTGTTGTGCATATTTAGAAAAGATTATACATGCAAAGTAACTTGAATGTGGTCCCACAGTTCACAATTTTTTTGTGCTTGCACGGAAAGTAGGTGACAGTTCTTGCTCTGAGACATCTTAGACAAATGCTGCTGTCATCATAATGATAAGTACAAAAACTGTATACATGGGTTACTCCACATCCCAGAATTCTAGGGGTTTTGATTGCTTCTGGTTTGCAGAGATAAAGATCTATCAATACTGGTTTGGATATACTTAAAATATGTCCTATTACTTTCACTCTTGTGTGATGCTGAAGTTCAGTGTTCCACAGTAACAGCCTGATTTAATTCTCTTTGCTCATGTAGAAATCCCCGATGGCCTCAGTTTGAGGCCTAGGAAGAATGAAGGATCAAATCCAAAATGTTTTCTAAATTTAACATCATGCATTTTGGGAAAAAGTTCCAAATACTCAGACGTTTGCCACACAGAGTTGCCCCTCACCATATATGTGTAGCACTGAATTATTTACAGGATTTCAGACTTGGGTAAACAGCTGAAACAGCCATGCCAAATCCAGCACTGCAATGGGAGTGAGCAGAAATATTCAAATTAAAATTAGAGCTTTCAGTCACCGGAGCTCCTTTTGCAGGCTCATATTACAATTCATATTTTTCTTCAGAACAATCAGTGGATATTAATGCCACATGAAAGTCAATTGTAATTGTCACCATCAGTGTTATAACATATATTTTCACTCCCTGCATTCATTTATCTTGCAGTGGAACCATCTCACTGTACCTGCACTTGCAAAATAGAATCTTTGTAATAGCAGCCCACTAATTTACTGAAACCTGCTGCCTGAAGGAGTAGGGCTCTTTTTCCTGTATACAGAAATGAGTGTATTTTCTGCAGAAGTACAAATTTTTATGTCACATCCCAGCACTGAGGTGGTTTTTGTTAAGTTTTGTTCTGCATTTTAGGAGTTGGTAATAGTGATGTATTAATTTCATTACTGATAAAGGAAGATTTGAGGGGGAAGGGTAGAAATATTGCAAGTCAATACAAAACAGTAGCAGCTTGAACACTTCACCTGAGTTACTGTAGATGGCTCATCAGATTGTTCTACAGGTGCCGGGTTACAAAAACCATTTTTATGGATTATACTTGGAATCATGTAAACATATCAACACACATTAAGGGAAGAACAGTGTATGTCAGAATTTGTTTCCTAAAAATGTTCATGCATCAAAACTTCACATTTATTAGCACATAAGTTTTTGTGCAAGGCTGTTTTCTTTGCCTACAGAAGAGCAATTTTCTATAGTTTGCTAGAATTGGTGGGTGGAAGTTTTGAAATTATGTCGCTGGTTTCCAAGGAATGGGTAGAAAAGGTGCAAAAGTTTGATTTATAGAAGAAAGACTGCTGCACCTTTCTCAATAGATTTTGCTAAGTTTGTGGGGGTTTTTTCTCTTTTTATTGAGCAAGACATTGTGAAAAGGTGCTTCCACTCTAATTCTGAGTTTAATAGCTTGTCTGGCCCTTAAATAAGTTTGTAATTCTGTTAATGTAACATTAAGTAGGGGAAATCCCTAGTTAAGATATTTCTATACATATGTATACATATGTGATTAAGATTGTCAGCCTTTGTACAGTATACTGAAATGGGGAAGTATGTTTTAACTTCCAAGTATGATTATTGTGTCATTACACAATTTTCTGTCATGTTATCTTTACAGAGTCCACAGAGACATACTCACAGCATGTTCAGAGTGTTGGCAGCACCACCACCACCAGTACAATACCAATCTGTAGATCCTCAGAAGAAGAAAAAAAAATTACAGTAATTAAAGCTCCACATTATGCAGGGATTGGCCCGGTAGATGAATCTGGAATCCCTACAGCAATTAGAACGGTAGGAAATTCTGGGAAATCTGTGTATGAGCTCATACAATGAACTGATTGTTGGTAATGGGTTTTTCACATTCTTCTACTCTTATATAATTTGGAATAGAGCGTGTGTAATCAGCAGCCTTGTGAACATAATATTGTGTGTTGATGAAAAGGAGAATGCTGATGGGAGCATAATTGGGCAACCTCATGTTTCCAGTTTTAATTAGAAGTAGCCAAAATTTAGTGTCTTTCCTGTGTCTCTTGTAGTTCTTGCCATTTGGAGATGCAAGGTAATTGCATTTGGTTTAGTTCTGAAATAAAGGTTATGCATACTTTATATATATGTATATGTGCAAATGATCATATGTACATCTGTGCATATGCAAAAATCTTACACTTCTGCATTTTTTGGGGCAGTATTCCCATATCATCAGGGTAGCATAGAAATGTGCAGTTTGGTTCTGATGGCAGTCTAAGGGAGTAGCATTTTCGTGACAGTGCAGTAAATAATCATTGTGCCCTTGACTGACACATAAGCAAATAGCTGGGGAGCCCTTTCATTGTGACCAGCCCAGTTTTGATCATCTGCCGCTGGTCACTGCTTGAGTGGTCCCAGAATGTCAGACTGAAGAGTTTTGTTTTCACTATGCTGAAGCATTCTTTCCACTCTGCTGTCAGGGCAGCCTCTTCTGGCTGCTCCAGAGAGCACAGAGGCAGCTGCACTAAGTCTGTGAAGGCAGCACTTGCTGGCCTTCCCAGCCAGAGAAGAACTGCTGTGCTGGACGGAGAAAGTGAGAAGAGTGGGAGCCAGGATGAAAGCGGCAGAGCCCTTGCAGGTGAAGTCTTAGCGTGGTGCAGGGATGTAGCAGCTGCTGGATGTATCCTGTCTGCCAGTATTGACATATGGGGCTATGTTCTATTGCCAAGAATTGCTTCAAGGGACTGAAAAATTAGAGGTGAAACCAGGAATTAATGGAGAAAATCAGTAGGAAAAAATCAGGATAAGTGGTAAGATGGGGAGATTTTTTTATAAGATTGGGGGAGAAACTCTTCAATTTCGTGCTTAATTTTTGACGTAAAAAAGTAATACGATCAGAATCTTTTAAAAATAAAGACATTTTTTTCCAGTAATGCTCTAGCTTCCTGTCCTCTTTTTAAGTAAGTAGTCCCTTTGCTTTATATTGGATATGGTAATTGGTTTTGTTCTTTTTTAGTAGCAGATTGTTCTAATAGGGTGCATATCAGTTATATAAGATTATAGCAGAAATCCCCCTTAAGTGTGCCTAATGAAGCTGGAAATCTGCCAAACTATATTTAACTTTCAGGTTGTATGATCTGAGTCTTTCAGATTTTCTCCTAAAAATGTAATTCAGCTTGAATTAGGACATCTTCCTGCTGGTTTTGCTCTGGTTTTTGGTGTGTTTCAATTTCAAAAAATCTTATAGCCTGTAATCTTGCTATTATAGAAATAATTCTCACAATGAGATATAAGTTAAAACTTCATGCTGGCATGTGTATGTGTAAGACTGTGTCTGATGTGCCATTTTGCATCCTTATTCTGCTTCCTTAAGACATAGCTGGCAGTAAAATTGTTTTCAAGATACTTATTTGAGATTACTTTATAAGTATGCAAAAGTATATTTGAGCCCTGTGTACCCCAGCTGAGCAAGAACAAAGTTGGTATAGTTGTCAGCAAGACTCAAATATGCTGCACCTTGCAAAAGTGCTAAAACTGCATTTTCCATTAATAGTAGAAGGTAGAGTATATCACCTGCCCTTTCTCTAAGGTCAGTGAGCAATTCAATAGGAATCTTCTCCCAGAAGGTTCACCCTCAGTCCATCTGAAGAGAGAAGTTTTCAAGTTAATTCAATTTATTATTGCATGTAAAGTTTAGAAGTCTCTTCCATCTTTGCAAAAATGGTAACCGTCTATCTAATAGCAGTAAATGAAGATTATGAGGTTATAGGTTACACACACCTATGTTCTAAAATGCTGTGCTGCTCCAAGTTTAGCATGTTACTAAGAACTCAGAAGTATCTGTGTTCCAGGTTTTGAGTGCTTCTCAGAAGTAAAGAGGTTTTGGAAGATGTGATTGTATCCTCCGTGTCTGCCTTTACTCTTAGAACATGGTTTGTGCCAGCTGTTTAGCCAAGGAAAACAGAAAGATGTTCTTTATATTCCTACTAACCCATTTTGTATCAGGCTTCTGAGAAGGGAAGGACTCCTATAAAGCTTTTTATTCACTTAGAATCCTGATCCCATGTTAACATGTTCCTTCTATGCCAGTTTAGCTCCTTCTAGCTCTGGGAAATGCAAGTCTGAAAATTCAGATTGTTGTTAGGTTCTGCTTTTGTGCCAAGCCCTGCCCCAAAGATGGTAAAATTCCAAGACACTAAAAATGAAGTCTCTGAAAAAGAGAGGGTAAAATGGCATTCACTCAGAAAAGCATTCAGTCAAATATAGCAGCATTTACCACTGATGGGGACCTGGGAAAGCAAAAGCAGATTCATGGAAAGCAGTAAAACTGCACTGTTTTAGTCCATCCAAAATGATTGCTCTATATCTAATTATCAAATTAATTGGTAGACTGAAAAGGCCTCTACTTGGTAAGAATGAAAAAAAAAGTCCCGCTAGGTTTCTTTTCCTACTTAGTGATGTAATATTTCAGCTTAAAAAAAACAATAAACAAAACACAAAAAACCAGAGGTCCACTGAAAGTCTCAGCATATTCTGAGTTGGAAGATCCACAAGGATCATCAAGTCCAGCTCTTAAGTGAATAGCCCATATGGGGATCCAAGCATTTATTAGCACCCTGTTCCCACCAGCTAAGCTAATCTCAGGGCCAGAGAGGCCTCTTTTAATTGCATACTTCCTGATGGATGATTACAATACTGCAGGGATTATGGAAATTGCAGTTACTTCTTGTGTTCTTTACGTGCTATTTGGCTGATTGGTTTTTTCACATACGATGATGCCGTGTTCCAGCATTTAATTGCATCAGCTATAATATTGTGCAAAACAGGATGGCATCTGAGTGACTTTGTGCATTGTGAATACTGCTAATTCCTCAAACAATGTTGTTCTGTGGGATTAGTGAATATAAATTGAGAAAATGAATTTCAAAATTAATGTATTCTATTTCTTAATCCTGTCTGGTTTATAGCATAAAGCCAAGTTACTGGCTGGGGCTGAAACCCCTAGGAGGGGTTTGCTGGGGAGATGAGAGAAAGGAACATTCAAATGTCCAGTAAGATGTTGGGAAGCTTCCTTCTCTACTCTTGGAAGCTCCTCTATACTGGTCTCTGTGTGGGAGACTCCTTTGACTTTGTGGAGGACCAGGCAATGCTTGACAAACAGCAGGGACATAGCAATAGTATTTATGCATTATTTGCAATTGTTCACCTACCACTTGTTGGAAGATTCTTCAGAAAAGCAGTCACAATATCATGGGACTGTTGCTGTGGGAAATGAGGAGAAACAGGGAGGTAATGTCCATCAGTGTGAATTCCTTCAGACCTCCTGGAATTTAAAACTTTTGAGCATATATCATCCTGGAGCACTAAACAGGATACTTGTTTCAGTCCAGTTATTCTAACTAGAGTTCCACTAGTGTAGATATTTAATACTTTTAAGGAAACAATTTTTTGGTTGCCCAGAGAAGGTGCAGATTTCTCATCCCTGGAGGTGTTCAGGGCCACACTGGATGGAGCTCTGAGCAACCTGGCCTAATGAAAGTTATCCTTGTCTATGGGAGGGATGTTAGAAGTTGATGATCTTTAATGTCCCTTTCAACCCAGGCCATTCTATGATTCATGATTCTTTGCATTAAAACTTCTGCTTTTTTGACTACTGTGGGACAAGTAACATTTTAACACCTAAGGAGGATAATACTGAAAACATGTTTGCCTTTGTGTTAATCCTTTCCTGAAATATTTGCATTCTACCTCAAAGAAAATTGCAGCAAAAGAGAAAATTCAAAAGGATGAGAGATAAAAAAAGAACAAGCAGGTGTCGATATGAGTAGAGTTGGGAACCTTGGGATTATGATTACTTAGTTTGCAAAAGTAAGGATAAGTATAATTTAATGAGTGATTATTGAATAAATTAAAATTGTCTGGAAAGGGCTTTTAAAACTGGTAAAGAATACTCTTTGTTTACATTCCAAACATTAACTCTAAAATATAGTGTGGTCTTAGTTATCTTCTCAGTAGTATTACAAAGTTTATCTGCATTATTTTAACAATTACATTTTGAAAGTAATTTAAGCCAGAAATTGGCAGGAGATCAAAAGAAGCACTTCTTACATGCTTATAATCATAACTGCTGAGGTGTTTCTATTTTCCTGTAAAGAATCTAGCATTCATCATTGTCAGATATAGGGCACAAAGGTGATGAACTGTTGATGTCAAAATAATTCCAATGTTCTGAACCATCATGCCCTCCAAGGATCAGTGTCCAAGACTGACTTAATCTTCAGTGCCTTCCAGAATTTGTTAAAGGAATTCCTCAATAAAACGCATCAATACATTCAAAATACATGGAAACTATTCTATTAAATAGGGAGTAACATAATATTTTTGTCCAGAATAACATTAAATGTCTGATCCAATCTGTACACATGGGTATTTTTATTTTGTTGTTAATTGTTAAAACTCTATTTTTTTCAGACAGTTGACAGGCCAAAGGATTGGTACAAGACAATGTTCAAGCAAATCCACATGGTTCATAAGCCTGGTGAGTATATTGTCTTTGTCTCCTCATGTCCACTTTGAGGGATGTGAAATTTTCTACTGTAAATCTCCTCCCATCTGCCTTTCTTTTGGAGAACTCCAGTGTTAGAACAGCGTGGGCTAGTAAACAGGCTGGTTTAAGGAAAAATTTTGTGCCTGAATTTAATTGTTGTCATAGAGTATTGTACTTGGTTTTGCTGAGACTGAGCTTTGGTGAGATTGCTAGCTTTATCCTTTATGATTTGCCCCAAGGGTGTCAGGAAACTGTATAAATGGCAATTATGTTCATTATACCTCCAAAAGGAAGGAGACTTTATTCATCTGAGGTAGAACTAACATTCAGTATGGTCACACAGAATATTAGTGGGAGAATAAGAAATGTAGGCAGGAGAATCTTGGCTTACAGGCTTTATCTTGAACACTAGTCACATAGTAGATATTTAGGATTGCCTTTTGTGATAGGAACAGCAGCTTAACAGTCTGTAGCATAGGAAAGCTGACAAAAGGAAGGAATCAAGCTTGGGGAAGGGAAAAGAACAGACAAAAAGTAATTTGCAGTTTGGTGCTAACTTAATAAGCATGCAATATGGGTGACATGACCAGAAGATACAATACAATAAGATGGTAAAAATGCCCTAAGTTTAGTATAAGGGGAAAAGAGAGTCTTCCAAAGGCACCTATGAGACGAGGAAAAGAAATACAGTGCTTGATGGCTTACCAATCTTCTATTTGTATTTGCAGAAACAAAGCTCAGTTTCTGTGATGAACTGGCATGTATGGCACTACTGTAACATATGTATTTCTTTTTGTAGATGACGACACAGACTTGTATAATACTGCATATGCATACAATACTGGTAGGAATTACTCCGTGTTCAAAGTGACGCTTTTGTTAATGTCAGCAAGTGATGGTGTAGTTAACTCTTCACACTCGCTTTTGTAATGCTTGTAGACACACCTTCTAGTGTCTCATTTGATCTCAGTTGTTCATGTCTTTTTTTCCCCAAATGAAACAAGTTTAATTTTAGTTTCATTCTTACTGCAGAAATTAATTTCAGCTGTGGACCTCTTCTTACTGTAGAGGGATACACTTAACACTGTAGTTTCTTGATTACTTTGCATTTATTTTCACTAGTGATTGTTAGTAATGCAGCCTTTCCTTACAGAAATGGAAAGGGAACTACCGTGTGAAAATGAAAATAGTAATTACTGACATGGAAAGACAAAAATAATGTACTGAATACATTTTAAAATTATGCAGCAAGAGTGCCAGATATAATGGATTGTTTTACAAACTTGTCCATTTTTGCATTCATGTTGATGTTATTTACCCACAAGAAAAGATATATTCATCTAAGAAATATAATAATTGTGTCTTAAGAAGATTATACCCATATGGTAAAATTATTTCCAAAAAAGCAAAAATGAAAGCATTAATAGACTGCCTGCAAAAAGGCCATAGTGCCTACTGCAAAAATGCCATTCAAAATTTTTTCATTTCAGTTTTTGTTGCATTAAACATGCTCTCAATAGTGCCTTTTTCTGTGCTGTTCAGGTGACTTGTAGTGGGTCAGTGGTTTGACATCTGTTTGTACTTTTGTGATCTTCTTCAAGATAATGCTATTGCCTCATTATCAAAAACCAAATAGTTATTAAAATAATCAAAAAATGTGTGTTTCCTGCTTTTTCTCTACTTTCTGTACATGGAACTGAGCAACAGGATGATCCTGGAGATTAATTACAGGGTGTCATTAACAGATGTGATGGATGTATACACCCATTAACTTCTCCATCAAATTATTTTACCTGTACTGCACTTTACCTATGTGTTTGTAATTTTGTGTAAAAATATGTAAGTTCTCTAATGAGCTGCATAATACACAGCAATGTACTTCTAAAACTCATTTGCACATTTTTGTAATCTTGCCATTTTATTGAGTTACTGTGGGTTCTTGTAGCATTCCATTTTGTGGTTTTTTTAAGATTTACTCTCATGCTATGACTGTTTCTGGTTTTGTTTTCTATTAGGTAGCTACAGTCCATCCTTCTCTGCTCAGGCACACCCAGCTGCAAAGACACAGACATACAGACCACTGTCCAAAAGTGCTTCTGACAGTAGCTCTGATGCCTTTAAAGTCTCATCCCCTTTGCCACCCCACGTGCCGCCACCAGTACCACCACATCGTATGAGGCAACGGTCTACACCAGAAAAGTAAGTTAGTGCACTTTTGAAAGGTGCTCTTGCTAAGTAAAGTACTCCAATTGCAGAATATAGCAAGGGATAAAATAGCAGCTCTAGAATAATCGTACTTCAAAGGCATTATTCAAGGGTCAGTCAGATGATGAGGGGTGATCCTTGTCAGGAGTCCGGGCATCATGCATGGTGCTGTCATGTCTTCAGTGTGCTAAAGAAGAGTTTTTTCTTATTTATGATGTGACCTTGAGCATTAAGAATTTTTATTCTCATTAGTGGTATTGTTCTGCTTTTTGTGTTTCAGAACAGTGTGCTCTAGGAGCTGTCTTCAATAGTCAGTCTCTGAGCAGAAAAGACTTTTATTGTACCCAGCACCAAAGAGAAGATCAAAAAGACAATGTAATTGAAAATTCAAGGGAGACCAAAACTGTACAAGAGTGTAGAAGTCAACCCACATTTCCCCAGAGCTTAGAAGTGCTTTATACCCCCATTTTTTTCAATCTCCATTTTGGTAGACCAAGACAGTGTTTACAGATTAAAGAGACATTTCAGATGCCCATGGTTCCCATAGTTTTCTATCCAAATTCTCTGCAGAAAACCAGGTCCCATTGGTTAGAGTCCAGTCTGGAAAAAATTAGTAATGCATAACTCAGGAAAGAAGTGTTTATCCTTTGATTAAACCTTGCCAGAGACCTGCACACAAATTCTGTTGACTTCAGCATATCTGTAGGTACTAGCTCTAGAAAAAATGCTTTTCTTTAGTGTTTACATTACTTAATACTACATGTTAATATAATATTATGTTATTATAAATCTATATGTGTGGTTATGCATATATTATATATTATATATTATATATTATATATTATATATTATATATTATATATTATATATTATATATTATATATTATATATAATATATAATATATTATATATTATATATTATATATATTAAAAGGGTAATATTTTTCTTTTCATCTGTGCCTACAAGCTTTCGTCTCTTAGTTACACTCAAGCAACAAAAGAGAATTTGACCATTTTTGTCAGCTTGGACATTGTAAACATATTTATATGTAGAAATCTAATTATATTAAACAGTTTCAAGTAATTAAAAGTTACAATAAAATATTATGATGCAAGACCATACTAAGTGTATAAAATTAAGACACAACTATGGCTTTTTGAAAAATCTGTAGATAGTGACAATCCAAAATGTAATTTAGTAAATACACATATTGCAGAGGAAGATGAGATTGCTTGATGCTTACTGATTTTGGCTTCCCTGTTGCCAAGGGCAGGTAGTCAAGAGGAAATGCTAAAGATTAGAGTTGGGCTGCCTCAAAGAGGCCATGAGGCTTGAATTTTGTTAGCAGGTCATACAGAAGTGCAGATTTTTTTAGCTAGACAGCAAAAGAGCTGTTTAGCCTTGATCTCTGAAGTTGTGTGATTTGTTGTCCGGTGCTAGGCCAAATGCCTCAGTCACGAAGGCCTGTTGCAGTGCCTCTTGTCAAGCTTGGAAACAACTACTCAGCACTGAATTTGGCTATTTCACCTCCCCTTTTAATCTCCTGCATGATAAAACAGGCAGTGGAAATCCTGTTCTCCAGGCCAAGGCGTACCAAACATGTTAGCTATGCTTTGCCCACTGCTGAAAGCTATAGCTCATCAATCTTTTCCTGCCATTGGGAGTTTTTTTTTTTTTAATTGCCTATAAAACCAGAGTATTTAAAATCTCACATAAGAGGCTTAGGTCCACATATATCACATGTTTCATAGCTGCGAGGCAAGATCTGGTTTGCACTAGCAGTTGAGCTCAAAATATAGTCCATGCAGGATAAAAGGCTGAAAACTGTAAATTAGTTGAATTGAGTGTGAATCAGAATTTCAGTAGCATCCTTTCTGCTTCAGTGGCTAGCAGTATAATGCAATTTCATCAGAATATTTCCATTTTCCTGTTCCTTCTAAAAAATGTAACCTTTTCTGCTCTGCAAATATTTTTTTCCTCAGTGAAAATAAACAATAAAGCCATGTAGAACTACTTCCCTTGAAATGTAGGGCATTTTATAAATAGAGGTGTCTGTGTCCCTGAAATGCACTTGCAAGCATTCTATAAACAAAAGCCACCCCATAGATTTTTTTAAGGCACATGACATGTGCATTATTATGTCAGGTCACATCAAACTAAGTCACGCCAGAAAGACCAGTAGAACTGATAAAATTTAATCAGTGTGTGGTCTTTCTTATCAAATATAGATAATAGCTGGTAGTATTTCCCCTCCCCTTTCCTCCAACCTTTGAGTTACTAGTGGGTCATTTTGTACAGAGTTAAATAAAAATATGTGTGACCCACAATTTTACAAGTACAATGGAGGTAGGTACTACAAGAGCTGCCATGCAAAGCAACTCTCACTGTTACTAGTTAAGTATTCCCCCAAAATGTATATTTAGCTAGTAATATGACATAGTAAACGACTGAAAAAATATAGTAGCATGGGTTACTTTTCATTATTTGCATAGCATTATTAAATTGAAAGCAAATTTGTAATTTTAGAGAAAATTGATACATTTCTATTCCAAATTCAACTGCCAAATTCTTCCTCTTGTTTATCTGTTCAAGACAGAGAAACAATATGCTGCTTACAAGGATATTCAGAAGCAATTCTACTACAAATGAGGATAATGAACATAACACTGTCTTTTAAAACAAGTCCTCATTTTTTGCCTCAGAAGTTTTTATAACTTTTTCAATATCACCTTATCATCATATTATAAGATGACAAAAATATCTACCACTTGTCTATATTAGTAGAGTGCACAAAACATGTATAGTTATTTGCAATGGTTTTTATGTTTTTTGGTGTGGTTTGCCAGGGTACTTTTTAAACTTCTCTGGTTGTTAAAGGACAAATATGAGTGATCACAGGCTGGAAGTCTCTAGTGTTCTTCCTGCTGTACTGAGCATCCCTGCTGTAAACAGGTTAAGATGTTACAGTAAAACACTGGGATGCCAGGCTAGATGAGATCTGGAAATATTAGCTGTTCTGAACATCATCTGGCTTTGCAGGTTTCTGTTGTAGCACAAGGTGGTGACAGAAAATTAGATCAGTTGCTCGTATTTGTTGTTTAGGAACGACTGGGATCCTCCTGACAGAAAGGTAGATACTCGCAGGTTCCGTTCTGAACCAAGAAGTATTTTTGAATATGAGCCGGGAAAGTCATCAATCCTTGAACATGAAAGACCGGTAAGACACACAAATGAAATGGGTAATACAGTAAGAGATTTGGTAAGAGGTTATCTTTTTATTATTTACTATTAATAATTGCTGTTTGGAGGAATATTGAAGATCCTTTTTCAAATACAATTTTGCAGCAATTTGTCTTTGCTCTTATCTGATGGTTGTATGTAAAAGTTGAGTTTGGCTTACTTGCTTAACTTACATCTTCTGGTGTATCCAAGAGATCACCACTTTGTCTATCACGGATGATAGACAAAACAGATGGAAACTGCTTTTCTGATTGGTGTGCATCTACAGCACTTATTTTCAGTAGCATTAACAGCACATATGATATCTGAATAATGAATGCATAACAATAAAATATTCACATTTTCAGGATGTGCTGAATTGTGTATCTAAGGAGATTTTGGTCAAATACTGGCCAAGGTTGCCCAGACAGAACTCGCCTGAACACAGCCCTGAGCAACCTGATATTATTAGACCTACCTTTAGCAGGAGGTTGGGCTAGATGACCTCTGGGGATCCTTTCCAGCCTCAAATACTCTGATTTGAGTGAGTGTACATTATGAATGAGTGTACATTAACATGTTAGAAGTCTTTATTCCTGCTTTCTGAATAATTATAGCAATTGTGGAATAAAGCGATGCTTAATGCTTGCAAAATTACAATTAACAGAAGTTTTCATTTGCTGAAAGACACATTCACCCAGCTCTCCTTATTTAGCTTTGTGCTATCTTAACAGTTTCTTATTTTAGAAAAGCTGTTATGTATCAATGGCAGTATTTTCTTTTCTTGGTCTTTTACTTTGAGGTTAAAATGTTTGAAGAAATCCAGTTTTAAAGATGTTAATGAAATGAGTACTGGATTGTTATTTGCTTCTGTATTACATGGTTGTTCACAGAATTTATTTTGTCAATTTAAGCCAAATTAAGGAAATTACTGAATTCAGAATATGCAGTATATCAACACTGTGAAACACCTGAACCAAGCACCTTTTCCTTTATTTTTGTGGTCTTTGCATGAATCTATTTTTTTGTTAGCCAGAGAACACGAAGCTCTTTTTCTGTGAAATTGAGTTCTTGCAGAACCGATGTGTTTTTCAAAGAGGAAATTGGCATTTCTGTAGGAACTGGTAATGAATAAATATAATTAGCATCTGAGTGCAGATGAACTTAACAATTTTATTTAAATGGCAGTGTCATTTGTCCTGAGCACTTTTTGAGTGCCATGGCCGCATTATAAACACTGAGGTAATTTACCAGTTTTCCAAATGCCAAATTGTAATAGCAGATTCAAATTAAAAATAAGAAAATTACACTGACTTCAGTGTATTCCAAGAATGGCTTCACTTTTCTAATAAATTACATTTTTCACTGATGTAATGTGAACAAAAATCATTCCTGTAACTATTGCAGTGCTGATGAATATTGTCAGAGCTACATTTTTTCAGTTCTAGCAAGCTAATGAAATAACAAGAAAATTAGGTTTGCTGACTGATCCTGAATCTTTTCCCACTTGCTTATGCATTTTACTTTTTCTAATGTGAATCAAGAGATGGAATTTTGAGCTTTGTTTGGTCATTAAAATATTTTCATGCAGAAAAGCTTTAGTCATGTTGTAGTCATGTTACTTACCAAGCAATATCCATCAAGGGTAAGGTCATACTTTGCCATCTTGAAGCTTAGACTGAAAGTTTAGGCTTAGCTGATGTACATACAAGGAATCATCTAATTGTATAAGAAATTTTTTAAGCTGAGGAAAGTACATTGATGTACAGAATTGAGAAATTTTTTTTGTTTATGTATGATTCAGGGCTGTAAAAAATTGGAAATTATTATAAGATGAATGTTTTACTGACACTAGTGTAACATAGTTGAAAAAAATAGGGAGCTATCACAGTTACATCAATCTGGAATGTCTACTGTTGATAAAGACGCCATTTAGTTTTATTTTATTAAGATACTTCCTTTGGACCATGTTACTAACAGAAAATTAATTTGTTTCACTGAAGTATTTCCTTTCCTTGTATTCATTGAATGGGATATAAAAAGTAAAACTAACTTTTTAAAGGGTGATCAGCAAAGCAGGTCAAAAGCTGTTTTCATTGTGCATAGGAAAAAGCTGACATCTGAAAATAATGCATTGGTTCCAAATTCACATAAAAACTCCAAATTCTCAAATGTGTCAGTACTGCATGAATTAAATCTTCCACCTTGATAATCTCAAAAGATTTGATTTCTAATGTCTGAAAAATTGTCTTAATGCTACTGAAGGAAAGTATTAAAAATATGTGGAATATAAAATAAGTGCAGTAAGTTAATATTGCAAAATAAGGACATTTATAGTGTCTGAAATAGAAAATCATACTTCATTAGTTTTGTCAAAATCAATGAAGTCAAAGGGAGTTTTTCTAACACTCCAAATCCCCAATTTTTTTAATTAAGTAATTTCCATGTCTACAGGATTGTAGTTTTGATGGCAAAGTAATCTGTTAAAAATATTAAATATTTACAGCTATCTTGTATTATAATCTGTCAAGTCTGACAAATCAAATTTGACAGATTAGCATTCTCTTTATTGCTGTAGGTAGCAGATTGGAATCAGTTGTGATTAATGGGGAGATGAGAACATGGCAAGAACAAAAGAAATTGAGATTCAGTGTGAAGCTAACATTTAGTGGAAAATACTGTGCAACAGATCCTCACTGATGAAAAGCAAATATGCATTAATCAAAACAATGTGAGAAATAATAAACTAAAACATTGACCTAGTAACAAACATTAAATTGATAGATTGGTTAGGGATCACTAATTGTTATAGATGCAGAAGGATGAGTGTAGTTTCAAAGTGCTGTATTGTGTAGTAGCCTCTTCCATGAAACAGGAAATTAGTGTGTTTTCTTCCATAATTTGAATTTGTAAGATAAAACATCAGCATAAAGGAGAGGCTTGGGATTAGTACTTTGAGATTGCAGTAAAAGTTTGTGATAGTAAGGCATTAAATAGTCTTACAAGACTTGCTGATACAGCTCCTCTTTGCTATTTCAAGAAGCCACTGATAGGGTGGTACACAAGTTACTTTGATGTACGTTTCCATCTCCAGGGTCTGCAATTCAACTAAATATTCCTCTTTTTTCCAATATCATCAAAATGGTGGACTTTGTTTCCTAAAATGGATGTTTACTTTCCATTAATTAGTAAATTACAATGTAACAACTTAATCTTATGCATGTGTAAATGAAATTAAATTTTATTATTAACTAGTTTCTACCTTCTATATATGAGAAGCAATTCCTCTATACATCTACATATATCTATTTCTGCAGTAGAGTATGTAAGGAAAAATCTCAGTGTTACTGTAAGAAAAGACCTCATAAAATTGGTACACACAATGCCTCTATTTTCATTAGTTATTTTACTCTAAGCATAAAAGTATACATGTGCTAGTCAAATAAAACTGTGAGGTTAAATTTTAGTTCTAGATTTTTTAATCTCTGTTCAACATACAAATTTTCTACTGAGTTTATATACAAGAGGAATTCATTATTAGAATCAATTTTTCTAAATTACTGTTTTGTCAAATACCAGAAATAGACTGGACTTGTTCCATGTTGTACATCTGTTGTTTTTTGTTTGGTTTGATTTCTAGTTTAGTGAAAAATTGGAAATTTTCTTTAGAGCATGCACATTTGGTTGCTTTTGACATCTCAATCTGGTTATCTGAATATTCCCCTTGGTTTGCTTAACATGGCATTATAAAATATTTCTTGTCATAAAGAAATAGACTAAGTCCATCTGGTAGCAGACTTGGAGTTACCATAGCTATTTAAAAGTAGTCCAAAATTTAAAAAANAAAAAAAAAAAAAAAAAAAAAAAAAAAAAAAAAAAAAAAAAAAAAAAAAAAAAAAAAAAAAAAAAAAAGAAAGAAAGAAAGAAAAAAATGCAAAAGAAAATTATTTAGAAATAATAAAATGCAAAAGCCAAATTTACAACAGGCATCTCAGCCCACTATTCCAGAGAGGCTTCAGTTTGGTGTCTGAAATTGCAAATGCAAAATACTGATCTACAAGTAAGAGCCATTTAACTCATGAGTTTAAATGCACAGTTTTGATTATTACCTGTGGATGTCTATTGTGTATCAAGGCAAGAACAGGCAAAGCTACTTGTAATACTACAGATGTGATTTTTTTCATTGTCCTTGTTCTATACTTGAACATCTGTGTTGGCCATCTGGTGCAAAAGGAGTGAAGTTACTTAATGGTCTTCAGTAGTATATTTTCAACGAATAATCAAATTATTACTAAATTGCTAGATGAAGGTTAGATTGTAGGAACATTATTTGACTGGCAAGTAATAAAAAGGGATTTTCCTTTATTGCTTTTACTTTCTATTCCAGTAGTTTGGAAGATACTTTGTGAGACTAAGCCAAGTGCAGCTTTTAAGTCAAAATGATTCATTCATTGTGAGTCTCTTAGAAGGTGAGATAGTAGAAAAAGCTCTGTCAGCAAAACTGAATCCAAAAGCCCAGCAAAATCAATTGCCTGTGTATTGATCTTGGTAGAACAGGGAACGCAAGTCCTCCAGAACTGCCAGCAACAGAGAATTTGCAGATTTTTAGTGCTCAGTTTCTTTTTGTTTGCTGCCCTCTGCAGCTGAAGCTGTAAATTAAAGGGGACTTGCCTGCAATTAGCTTCACATACTTTGTAACAGTCTCATTTTATTTACTACCCGAGAAGAAATTAAAACGTAGAAACTAGATAAAATGCATTATTTATAGCTTTTTCTTTACCAGCAGAAACACAAGGGTTTTTAAGCTTGCAGGTAACTGCAAGAGTATTTGAAGTTGAAAAGGGGGGCAACCCCCATTCTCATTTTTATCTCCTTGGCTGGCTTAGGAGAGCCCAGTTGATTTGTCTCTGTGTTCTGCCTCCCTGCAAGGAGGGACATGGTTCCATCTCTGTGTAGGTCTGGGGCTGCTACTCTTCTAGGCACCTTGAGGCTCACAGG